GAACAGGTTTGTAACAAAAGATAAAATTTGCATTTTTCGACACAATTTGTGATGATTTTCTTCGAGAGTTTGGGAAACGATGTGAAACGCAGTGAAACTTGAAATCAAGTGAACGTTTTTTCGGTTTGAAATACTTTTTAAACTATTGTTTGAAATACTTTTTAAAAAGTTTTTATTCAGTTTTTTCCAGTTTTTAATTGTTGTGTTAATTGTTTATAGCATTTATAAATTTAGCGTTTATTTTAACTCAAGGTATACCTATATATAGAGATCCCATCAATCATTTGTAGCACTTGTTGTGAGCAATTAAAAGCACTGGTAGTACTGACCCCTCTTCCCCTCCCTGTCCGCTAAACATTTGTAATAATTTTACAAATAAATGAATGAATTGATAGTAAGAATAGGATTGAATGCAAACTCCATTCAACTCGTGTTACCATTAATTCAATCATTTATTTTAACTCAAACTAAAGGACAGAGAAATCAATGAATGAATTGATTGTCAATTATTTATTTGATTTCAATTTGTTTGAAATGACGAATAAAATTCACATTTTGTGTCACTTAAACACAATTGCATTCATTTATTATTAAATATGATAATTAATTTGCAAATTAATGTGAAAAATATATGAAAAGTAAATGTTATGACAATTAATGGCAAGAAATAAATGTAAATTACTATCAATTTTCAAAAAAAAACTTTTAATCAAACGCTGTGTATATGAAAGCGAACGGTCGGCCCTCACGACCCGTTTGGCCCCATCCCTACCCTTCCGATCGTTGACGCTCTGCTCTCACGGCCCGTACGGTGTGGTGAAGAGGTGGTGACCCGATGTTGTGGTCACCCCCGGGGGAGTGTAACTGTTGCGGTGGGTCTGTAGACGGGTCGCCGCCGGCTCTGTGTCTACCCTAACGCCCGCAGTCGAGAGGGTCGCTGACGGGTCACCTCTGGTTCTGTGTCCAAACCACTCACCGCTCATACACTCCCCACTCCCCATAATGAATAGGAATTTAGAAAACTGTTGTATAAATTTCTATCACAAAAAACACAAACTTATATTACAAATACCATTGAAATCAATATTAAACACTATATTCCTTACGTCTAAATGAGAGAGAGAGAAGAGTGTAAATGAGAAATTTTCAAAAGCCTTTTCTGCTTATAATAATTTATTAATAAATTTTTGCGATGTTTTCAATCGTTAATGACATTCACGACGACTAGTATTACAAGTTATTTACGAGTTTTCTTACGCCTCTCACACTCTCTATCGATGAATGGTTTTGAATGCTTTAAATTAACGTTTCTCTCAAATATCTCTCTCATTTAGACGTAAGGAATATAGTGTTTAATATTGATTTCAATGGTATTTGTAATATAAGTTTGTGTTTTTTGTGATAGAAATTTATACAACAGTTTTCTAAATTCCTATTCATTATAATTGTTTGAAAATTGTTTTCCCGATTGCTTTGTTAATATTATTAAATCTAATGGATATCTGGATATTATATGCCGTTTTAATTATTTACAGCACATTTCATGTCAAATGCAGTAAGTTTTTAATATAATAATAAATATAATATTAAATATTACTAATTAATACATTATTGTTGTTCCTGTTGACTTATAAATAAATTAATTGGTTTTACCAATATACAATATATTATAGTAATTTATACATATTTACTGTTAAAAATAAATTATACAAAACTAAAGTTTTATTTTTAAAATATTAAAACGTGAGACTTAAAAATTACAAACCTTTTAATCAATTAGTTTTTATTAGTTAAAGTAAGATTTTATTAAATTTAAAAATCAATACATTTTATTTTTTGCATGTACAACTCAATGTAGAAATATATTAAAAATGAGTAAAAATAAATAGTTTTGTTTGGAAATAAATTTTCCTGCATTTCATTATTAGATGCAATTGTTTTTCCATTTGAAAAATACTGTGAATTCTGTATACAGAATATTCTGTGTGTATGAAATAAAATTATTATATAACTGTTACACAGTTTTTTATTATTATAAAATGTTTAATAAAATAATTGTTATTAAAAACAGATCCATTGAATGACACAACTGTGTCTACAAGCAGTACGGATTCAAGCGATTCAATAGACTTTACAACTGTTTCATATGACACAACGGTTGTGCCCACACAAGTGGATGATCTTAAGATCACCACAACTGCCAATTTGGTGGATATGGAGACCACGACCACCGCCACTGACATCACTGATATCAATGATAATACCAGCGATAACAATGATGTCAATTGTTCCCATTGTCTTAACGCCAAGTATTTCAACCATTATTACGCCAAAGGATGTAAACCAGTCTTCGGTGACAACCGCTGTAAGGATTGTCCGAAAATGTTTGATTGCATCGAAAAGATTGAGATAGAGTTAGGAAATAATGGTTAGTATTAGTGAATATACAGTACTATTAAACCGCAAAACTAATTGCCAGTATATTTTACACGTATATAATCAATAGAGTGCTTATTCAATGGCAGCAAATTCACAATCGGAGAGCGCATACCAGTGCCCAACCCGTGTCAAGTGTGTCAGTGCGGGTACGGATACACACACCGAGTGGACAGTCAGCCCTTTACTACAATACATTGCGTGTCCGTCGAGTGTCCGGAAAACTTTGCGGTCCATTCGTTCCCATTGGCCGGACTCGAGCGCGACTTCGAGAGAGTCCACAACTGTTACAACGTTTACGAGAGCGGGAAGTGTTGCGCCGTTTCCAAGAAATGTAAATTATTTTTGCTGTCAATTCAATCACTGGACAAACAATAGCTATATTGTTTTTATAAACACAAATTCCTACACTACAGGTGCCGATCCGGTCGACGAAGAGTTTGTCTGTCAATACAATGGGAAGAGCTATAGGTTGGGCGAAAAGATACACCCGATTGACGACAAATGCAAAGTCTGTGTTTGCGATCAGAGCTGGAACTCAAACAAAACCAGTGATAACAGCGGCTGTCGTGCCGTTGAGTGCAATCTGGAGGTCGACCGCCAATTGAGGGACGGATGTCTACCCATATATCACGAGAACACCTGTTGTCCCGTCGATTACTATTGCCGTTAGTTTTGAGCAAAAAAAATACAAATATTTCAAAAATCAAAACTTTTCTTTTTTCGCAGCCGAACGAGAGTTTACGGACAAACAACAGGATAACCACCGGTGCGGCCAACCGGCCGATCCGGGCCCGTGTGTGGGCCTATTCAAGCGTTTCTATTATGACGGACGTGACGGCCGGTGCCACTCGTTTGTGTTCGGCGGGTGCGGCGGCTCTGACAACAACTTTCGGCGTTTAGACGATTGCCAGAAAACATGCGTTAAATCCGATTCAAAACCTGATGTAAACCAAACCCAAAGCCAAAGTCCAGACACTGATAGGAGTAGCGATGATAGCGGCGCTCAACCCTATTGTCTAATGAACGACAAGCGCTATCCTATCGGCCATAAGCTGGATATTGGCCAGCGGTGTGTGGACTGTGTCTGTCGTATACCACCGGAGTTTACTTGCGTCCAGAGGTCGTGTCCGAAGACACCCGTCGCCCCAAATCAATGCAAAGTGACTTACAGTCCCGCCGAGTGCTGTCCGACCTATGATTGTAGTTATAATAAGAGTAAGTTTTAATGTCTTAACACATCTCAAATGTTTTATTGTCTGTCATCTGATGTCAACATTTATTAATCGTTTGTCTTATACAGCGTCTGACCAGTCGTTCGATACGTCCAGTTGTCCGACACCTATGTGTGCAAAGGGCTGTCACTTTGAGACATATCCAGACCGGTGTCCCACTTGTGTCTGCAAACCAGCCATCGATGGCCGAGAAGTACCCGATTATGATGTGACAGATGTTTAGTTAATTATATGTTTTAATTATAGATATAATGCTATTTTTATATCCATTTCTTTCTTGTAATTTGTCATACATTTAATAAAACATAATTTATTAATACAATCAACACGTGGTAAACTATTATTTGTAAAGTTATTACAAATGTTTAGAGGACAGGGAGGGAAAGAGGGGTCAGTACTACCAGTGCTTTTAATTGCTCACAACAATTGCTACAAATGATTGATGGGATCTCTATATATAGGTATACCTTGAGTTAAAATAAACGCTAAATTTATAAATGCTATTAACGATTAACACAACAATTAAAAACTAGAAAAAAACTAAATAAAAACTTTTTTAAAAATTTCAAACAATAGTTTAAAAAGTATTTTAAACCGAAAAAACGTTCACTTGATTTCAAGTTTCACTGCGTTTCACATCGTTTCCCAAACTCTCGAAGAAAATCATCACAAATTGTGTCGAAAAATGCAANAAACCGAAAAAACGTTCACTTGATTTCAAGTTTCACTGCGTTTCACATCGTTTCCCAAACTCTCGAAGAAAATCATCACAAATTGTGTCGAAAAATGCAAATTTTATCTTTTGTTACAAACCTGTTCTCGCGTTGTGTCCACTATTGGATCGGAGATGTGTTCCCGCAATACAGCCATCACTCGGAGGCCAACGAACCCGATGTCAGCCCAACCGAAGGCATGAGATTCTCGACCGTTTAC